GATGACCTTTTCTACCGTCAAAACTACAAAAGTACAAAACACATTAATTATAATAAATAATAATACAACACAACCAATGACCATAAGAACTAATTAATTGATTGTAGTAATTAGGTTACTCCCCCTCTCCCTCTCCCTCCCTCCCTCCCTCTCCCTCACCAGTCAGTTAATGAGTTCTTAGCACAGAGGACATCATGACCTTTTCTACCGACAGTTTCAAGAATCACCTCATCCCCTGGGAATATCTGGAGAGGAGGGAGAAGAGAACATACACCATAAATACTTAAAAGTGTGTGCAGTGAGAGGATAATGAAAGGTTAATGAGAATATACTTACATCTTGACCCTTTGAACTGTTCACTAATGAAGGAGGAGGAAGCATCTTAAAGAGATAAGGTTCATTAGACAGGAGACCCTAACAGAGAGGAGAGGGAGAGAGTATGTGAAATGTAGTAACAAGAGCAAGTACTCACTGGTTTTGTCTCAGTCTCTTTGAGTGCTTTGTTAGGTATTGACAAATACTTCTTTGATGCAACATGAAGCAACTGAAGGAAAATAAATCTCAGTTATTACTCAAAAACAATAAACAACGAGACACCTACGGTGCATGGCCTCGCCCCTATAGCTGCTATGGTGCATGCTCTCACTGCAATAGCTGTTTGATTGTCACCATAAAAGAACAGCATGAAGAGAGTCTGCTCAACATTAGCTTCCTGCAGTTGCACTTGCTCTTGAATACCTGCAGAAGTAGCAGCACTGCAGCACATACATACAAGCAGGTCCAGCCCCTCCCATGCATGTATATTGAAAGGTGTGGCATTACATCATCAACTGCAATGATGGCAGCAAGAAGACCATGTGAGAAAGAAGCTTCACTTTTCCTTTACTAATCAGCAAAATATGATAAACTTGCTGACACAAAGTTGTTGCCCTTTATGTAGTTGAGATAGTATAGGTACTTTTTAGTGCCTATAGTGATGTAGGTGTCGCTCTAGCACTTCACAAACTCGTGACCTGGACACATTCAAGCAAGTATAACACTTCATCAAGTAAGATTTACGAAATTCTGTTCATAATTATTGATGGCCATGTTTTAATGTACTAGAAAATGCTACCAGCTATCTCTAGAGTGCCAACACAAAGGAACTTGGGTCAACCACTCAATTTTCTTACTTTGAAGCTTCTGTACCTAGCGCTTATATTTGGACAACACTAAATAGTTCAGAATGACTTTTTCAGCTCAAGAAGAAAGATCTAGGAGCTTAGAACACGTTGTGCTAAAGTTATTATTTATTAAAGACAAAATCATTTGTACAGAATGAATGAACGAGAGCACTAAAGTGCGTACCCTCGACACAATCTGTATGTAACAGTTTCAATAAATTAAGAGAAAATAATTGGTGAAAGTTTTGAGACAGAGAAGAAGCTTCAGCATGTACTAGATTTATTAAAACTTTGTGAATGTTTTGAGACAGACAAAGAATTTTTTGTTTTTTTAGTCTGAGAGCTCCAGCATATTTGCTGCTGCTAGCTGCAGCAATCTAAAGGTGTGGCTGCAATGAAGGTATGGCTCAAGCCATGCTCCACCCCCACACACATTAAATGGTGGCACATGGCCCTAAGTGGTGAAGAAAGCTTTGGTTTTTCTCGACTTTTAAACAGTTTAGTGTACATTTGTTAGGCTCTATTTGTTACATACAAACTGCTATCTTGTCCCTAATGTTAAAAGCCTCTGGCTGCTACCTCAGGAGAAGAGAGCCTCGTCTAAACTCACAAGGTATGAAAGTTTGGGGTATCATATTTTTAAAATGAAGACGATTGGAGCAATTCCTCTCATATTAGTGAAAGATGAGGCTTTGCTTTATTGTTTTATCTGCCCTGTTGCTCTTTTGGTTTCACTACGAAAGAGCTGCAGGAGAGCCGACTACGTTTGGTAACTTTGCCAGCTTCTTTTACCACGGAAAAGACAAATCAAGGATTCCCAAGACAGGGAATAACTTTTTCTAGAGCCAGTGTTGATTATAAGACTCTCCAGGATAAGACAAGAAAGCAGTGTCAGCTCAAAAGTGGAGGTCAAAGCGAACACAGACAGGACGACTGCTTTACCCTCGACTACGCCTACGCGGTCTCGGGTAATGACAGACACAACAACTATCTATACCTCGCGTAGGCAAGGCCAAAAATGTATTTTAAATATTTATATATACCTTTATCTTTCGACCATAAACTAATTTACGATGCAAATAATGTCTGTCTTCTTCCTAAATATAAAACAATTTCAAAAATAGCTAATCGTGACACACCCCCTTTGTTAGATACGAGAAAAGTGTGTACCAACTAAACTGACCTTCATGATTGAGAGAGGTGAAGTTGACAAATCAGGTCTGCAATAATAATAATAATAATGGTGATAATAACAGATTAATTAATTAATACTCACTGAGCATATTCTGGTAAAACTTGGAAAGAAATAGCTTCAAAGAGAGAGAGAAAGGTGAATATAGCGAGAGATTAAATAATACTATTATATAGGCATAAGACTTACCGTGAACATTGGGTCTTTCCTTTTCACTTTTAATGACAGCACAACTGTATTTCGAACTATTTGTTTAAAGGAAAAGGTAAAGACAGTATTGCAAACATTTAATAAGGTAGCGTGTAGATTACCAGGGAGGCAGAGCGTATACAAATCCACTGACATCCTTGTCGACACAAGAGAGAAGGATAATGTCTCCTTCATGGACTGGCCTAACACCAGTCTTCATTTCCACTCCAAATACCGTAGGACGACTAATTTTCGCGAAATGCTAATAAGAATTTCCATGGAAACGGTTTAGATAGTTGCTATGGCGATTGACCACGTGTTTATACATTTACAGTGTCCAGCAGCTAATCAACTATCTTTAGCAGTTTTAGTGGAGCCATCCAGCTCTCTTATCCCGTTATAATTATTCTTGTATAGACCACTACCTTCGAGCTCTTTGCTGCAAAATCAGTGCTGGTCCGTCTGTCATGATTATAAACCACACCCAAGTCAATAAACAATCACGGGTGTTTCAACTGGACATTTAGTTTATAAATAGAATAGTTGCGGTAGGTACAACATTGGTTAGTGAGGTGTGACCATTAATCATCACAAAAGAGAAGAGTATTGCTAAGGACATTACTCCAAAGTACTAGCTGCTATGACAGTACTACATTCCATAGACCTAGATAAGGTCTCCTAGGACACCCCTAGCTCATCTGCGCATACATAATATGTACTGTGAATAACTGCGCATTGAGCAAGAGCAGCTGCCTAAAATAAACTCATTTCAGCTGATGGTTTTGAGTGGACTTCCTGGCTTTAGGAAAGTTTTTTCAATTGTAACTATTATCCAAAACTGAAGATCAAAGGTAGTACATTGTAACAAAATATAACTTAGCATGCCACTTTTTTTGCTAACAAAATATATAGCACTCAAAATGACACATGAATGATTGTTAGAGAAGCTCTGTCGCCTTTGTGGTAGAAATAATAGGCCAGTACAGAGTGTCCTGCTGTTTTACAAAGTTCAAAGAACCATTGCAAGAAGAATTTGCAATAGGTATCTAACAGAATAGTGACGAAGTCCATTCCAAGTGTTTTTGTGATCGATGCTATGCTATTTTGTAGAGAAAGATAAAAGAGCCAAGGACAGAAGAGTAATGCTTACTTCTATTAATCTAGTAGAGTGGAGGAAGCATACAAATGAGAGCTGTGAGACATCAGACATGCCAAAA